ACACTCATCCGGCCGCCTGAAAAGCAATAATTTGACAACGCCACGTTATGCGTCCATCGCTGATCCGGTGCTCTGGATAGCAGTGGGTTGAATTTAGGAGGAGCTATGGCTAGATGCAGGATTTAATAGCAGAGCTGTCACCTAGCAGATTACAAGTCTCTTTGCGGCGTGGTACATCCCCTTAAATAAGGACTAAGTTGGGCATTTAGGTCATTCAAAAAATAACGTCGAGCAGGATGACAATACATTATCGAAATAAGACTGCGCCATAGACTTTACATCCTGAACAGAGGGCGGTTGCTATGCTTTTGTCCGTTCTCCCATAGACCAAGCCTAGACCATGCTGATGAGTTGCCACAGAAGCACGAAACACCTGCCTTGGGCTGGCTGTCTTTGGTTCACGTAGCATGTTAACGTGAGACCCTCAAAGAAAAAAGTTTGCTACGAAGTTATATAACTGATAATTATAATTACAAGAAACTGTAATCTGTCATTCAATCATATTGTGAAAAATTGAACTAGGAATAAAGAAAACATCGAATGAAAGGAACTCCCCATCTCAAATGAACTAGAATCTGTAAAAGAACAAAAAGTTAAGGTAGCAACGTTAAAATGCAATTTCCCATCTGAAATAAAGGCAGGATCTTGGGCGTACATCTTGGGATCCCGTACTATTACTGAGGTTCGGAGCGATGTTTTGATAAATGTTTTAATATTTAACGGAGATATTGCAGCCGATTTAAATCGGACTTGTTTCCTACTTGAAAAAGACTGCGTGGGTCTAATAAAAATATCATTATTATATTTTTTTTCGCGATGTTGGGTCATACAGCCGTTAGATTAAAAGGTTTTATATTCAAATGTTGAAGGAAATGCGTATGTGGAAAAACAATAGCTACTTCAAAATGATATACAAAGAAAATGACCTTGAGCAGAACCTGCAACCAACAAAAGCATACCGATTTCTAATGCAGTGCTTTGTTTCAATATACCAGCCACCCTCCCTTTTATCTTTCCATTTGATGACCCCCTTTGAAGTAGAAGATTGAGATTTAATAATAACAATGACAAGAATAATAACAAAAATAATAGCGTTTATTGCCCAACAGATGCAGAATTCCTTCACAGAGTAATATAAAGTAAGAACGCTATACTATCCATAGGGATTTTGTGACATATTTTCATTTCAATTTCAAGCAATTCCCTTCCATTCATATGATAATTCTCGTGATTCCGTATGCCTACGCAATGTCGCCAGAATACCCTATCAAGCGAATTCCCGGCAGCATCTGCAACTGAAGAACCCCATCGTAGAACGGCCCTAACACGAAGCCCTGCGGAACTCCCATGATTACCTTCATCGTTTCTTGTACTACCAAGAGTTCCCACTCGTCAAAGTAGCTCTTCCATCTCTCCATTCCATTTGCTCTATAGTACTTTCTATTTTCTCTTGTCATCCTACGTCTGTTAGTTAAGCATTCTTTTCTTTTTTTACAATTTGTGCTTGTAATCATCCAGTTTTTTGTTTCAAAGGGTGAACCGCAGATATCCGGGGAATGCTTTTAATCTGACTCGGTTTATCTTCCACCTGAAGATCTTATGTGGCTGTGGTCTTTCATGTTATTTCAAACATAATATACAGGGTGTCCGCAAAGTTGGGGTTTTCCTTTTCAGAAACAACTACCCTTGAAATAATAAAGGTAATGTGTAGTGAAACGAGGGCGAGCAAGTAAAAAAAAATAAAGGAAAAAGTACTCACTCTCCAGTTGACGAGAAGGGCTAAGTACGTCTCTGCCCGAAATCATACCGCTCCAACAGAAGATCAAATCAGCTGATGCGCTACCGAGCAGACGCAGGCAAACAAGGAAGGCAAAATGTTTCGTAAAAAGTCTAGGTATTGCATCCCGTCCAATCGATTTGGGAGAATAAATGGTCCAATGAGCATACCGTTCACCATGCTAGCCCAAATATTCACTGAAAATGTTTGTTGAAAATATGGCCGACGGACAGCGTGCGGATTTTCTACTGACCAAACATGAGTGTTGTGAAAGTTATTCACCCCATTACGCGTGAACGTAGATTCGTCTGTCACCAATATGCACTTCAAAAAGTCCGGATTATTGTCATGTTGATGCAACAACCACTCACAAAACCGCGCTCTTGCTGGAAAATCGTCAGGTTGAAGCGCTTGTACACGTTGGACGTGAAACGGATACAGCCCCTCTTCACGCAGCGTTTGCCACGCTTTAGTTTTTGATACTTGCACTTCTCTAGCCACGTCTCTAGTGCTTGTTGAGGGATTCTCGTCTACGCGACTACCTCTACACGCGTGACCGTAACCGTCGGTTGAAGGTTGCATACTGATCTGACACACTGACCCCGACCCAGCTCTGTCGTCGGGTTGAGCCAGTGACCTTGCACCAGTCGGTGATGTCGCGGCTACAGGACGGTATTCAGATATTTTTGATGTTGCAGAGCCCTTTATCTCGGTTCCGTTAAGATATTGGTGTATATGGAACTAAGAAAAATTGCTTATGTTTTCAAGATCTACACGTCGTGTAAAGGAAAACCCCAACTTTGCGGACACTCTGTATTTATAGTCGCTTTAGTTGTCATCATCGAGTACTTTCCAGTTTTTAGTATCATCTATTAAGATGTTATTAATTTAACTATGTCTTCATTGACTTCATTGAATTGTTCGGCTCAACATCTTGGCGGACTATCAGGCATTAAAACGCTAAGTGCTGTGATCTAGCCCGATATCCTTCTCTAAATGCAAAAGAGAGAAATCCTAATACCACGGTCATCTGTCAAAACTAATTTTCGTGAAAATTCTAGTATTTTTAAGGTATAAACGCCAAACTGTAGTCATAAAAGTTTAAAAACAATTTACGTTTTATTTATTTATGCAAATTATTATTTCTCGAAGCGAATATGCTCTCATGCGACTGAAACGTTGAAATGCGGAAGTATAAAACGAGTAAATTGAATGGAATGTTTACTGAAGATATTACGGGTAAATGACTCAATTGTCTCTGCAGCACTTTACTAATTGTTAATGTATATTTTTCATGAAATGCTAGCCATTACCGTAGCTTCACCAAGTTTAGAAAGCATTCTGCCTCAATGAATATTAATGAATACAGTTTCACAAATAAATCAACGCGTTAGACCTGCCAGACGTACTCGCCAAGGTTTGCTTGTTTGATATAGAGACTATAGACTACATTACCAGTAGAGCATTTTGCCAGTCTTTGGGCTGTTCAAGGGTAGAATCGACAAGATATCGCTACCCTCTTTTTAGCTACCGCATTATCTTATGGCTGATTTATATAGTATTTATAGTTTAATTTATTCGCACAGTTCATGAAGTTATAAAAGGAGCAAGGAATAAGCGAATAACGGGGAGACCCACAGGAAGGTACAGGGGTGAAAAGCGTAACACATAAAAATAAGACCAGTAGTGTATAAATTATCCACATCAGGTAAAACAGCCCACGCAGTTTGTTAAAAGTGTCACAATCAGGTAAGAAGTCACATGGACGTTACACAATTTAAATATACAATCACAATAAAAATATGGGACAAAAAATAACAGGCTAAGTATTTTTTTGTTCAAGGTACAGATGGGAGCTCAACTTTGTTCGAATGTCTTATACATTTGATTTGAGATGGAACGATGTTGAACGATCTAGAAGCTAAGAAAGGATAAGACCTGAAAAACAAAGTTTCTTTCTGGGATTGGTACCCTTGCCAAATCTTTTCTATTTCTGGTTTGGTAATTATATGTAATATAGCTCAATAATTTTCTCATTTTATATCGATCTATTGCAGAGTTCCCCAAACTTTTTTGTGTCGTAGACACCTTGCCATGTTTTTCCGTGTTGGGAGACCCCCTAGTTACCTGATATTGATTTCCTGTAAATTTCTAACTGTAGTGAAGTTTAGTGTTAAAAACTTAAAGTAATAACACATGTTAATTTATACATTTATTAATTGAATTTAAATTAAAAATACTCAAAATGAAATTTTGTATCTGTTATGTAAAATATACGTAACATTAAATAAACAGGTGTCTGACCAATAAGTGCCCGCATTGGGAATAAGTGCCCGCATTTAAAAAAAAAAATAAGAAGGAAAAAATAAAAAAAGTGAAAAATAATAAAAAAAAAGTTTTTTACTTAAAATAGTACAATAAGCGAGTTCGTTTATTAATTATAACATAAAAGTATGTTCTACAATAATTTCACTGTTAGTTTGATTAAATTCCGCTTCTTATACGTTTAAGTTATCTAAAAACAGGCAAAAAATTTACGATTTTAGTTTGTACCTATCCTTGAATTTTCAGAATAATTTAAAAAAAATATTTTCTATAAAGGGGGGTTCTTTAAAAAAATCAATGCGGGCACTTATTCCCAATGCGGGCATTTATTGGTCAGACACCAATAAACATAAAATAAACTATAAATAAAATAACATAAGCAATAAGTCAATATTTTTAGTGATAAGGATAAACCTGATGCTTTAATAATAAATTATCAACATTTGGCGTCAATTTTGTAAGGGTTAATCTTAAATCTCCTCGGCTAATGATGTCCAGTCTGTTTCTTTTTTTCGTTAGGAGATTGGTAACAGCGCTGAACCCCCTTTCCACTAGGTATGACGATGGAAAGGAAATTAAAAATTTCCTCGCTATATTCCATAATACGGGATAAGTACCGGGTATGTTTTTTTGCAGCCAGAATTGCTGATATCCGTTTTTAAACTGAACCTTAAGTTCTTCATTTGTACTCAGTTCAGTCAGTTCCTCTTGTATTATGACATTCGTTTCTTCTATGTCACCATATGGATTAATTATCTGTGACAAATTGGGGAACTGAGAAAATTCGCCCCGTCCAATATTTTGCTTCATTAGTTTAACTCTGGCAAGAAACGCTGATAAGATGGACTTTGTTTTAATCAAATTTAAACTGTCGCCTTGTAATTGCAAATTAACCATATTAAATTTTGTAAACAAATCTGTTAAATAGGCGGTCTGTTTTCCTCTTCATTAAATTTTCTTTTAAAGTTTTATCTTTAGTATCCAGAAATTCTAAAATATTCTCAAAAAGTGCAAAAAATCTTGTCAAACGTAAGCCTTTCGACAGCCAGCGTACTTCAGTGTGAAGGAGTAATTGATGAAAGTGTTCGTCATTTTCTTCACACAACTGCGCAAATAACCGCGTATTCAACGCGTTGCTTCGGATTCGGTTTACTACATCAATGACTAAATGAAGTGATTCATGCAATCTGACACTCAAATTTTTAGCAACTAAATGTTGTCGATGGATGACGCAATGTATTGCTAACACCCCTCACACATTTTGTTTTAAATAGCTTATAACTCCACGATAACGTCCAACCATGGCAGGTGCTTCATCTGTAGCTACTGATATTATATTTGATAAAGGAATTGTTTTTTCAATGAAGTAATCTTTCAAAGCATGAAATATTGATTCACCTTTAGTGTCGGTTATCAAAGTTCTTGCGAAGAGCAGTTCTTCGTAGATTTCTTGATTCATAATAAAACGAACATATGCCAATAATAATGCTGCATTATCAGGTAAAGTTGACTCGTCCAGTTGTATAGAGAAATGGGCCGTTTGCAAATAATTACATAAGAAGCTTTCAATATCAGAACTCATTTCATCAATACGTCTTTCAACAGTATTGTTGCTTAAGGGAATTCTTTTAATGATATCAGATGCAGGTTTGTGTAAAACAGTTTTTAAAACCTCTTCAACGGCTGGCAAAATTAACTTCTCTCCGATAGTATGCGGTTTTCCGGATTTTGCTATAAGTAACGAGATATTGTAAGACGCCCGCAAACCATCATCATTTCTTTTTGACGGACATTCTGTCCAGTGTAGGTCTCTTCTGAAATTTATCTTTGAGTGTTTGAAAGTATTTCAAATCTTTCTCTGTTTTATCAGGGTGGCATCTTCTCAGATGGTCTTGCAGTTTAGATGGTTTCATAGCGTCATTGCCCAAAACTTTGTTGCATAAAAGGCACATAGGCGATTGTTTGTCCGGCAATGATGGAATGAAGTCAAATTTCAAATAATCAACACTGTACTGTCTACATTTCTTTTTAGATTCGGGCATGGCATCAGTCATCTGTGGGCAAAATTAAATTATTCAAATAAGACAGAAAATCCAGCAGCTGTATATTAAAAATATTTTTTGATTTTTCCGACAACATTACATAATTCGAACATCTTCTTCCAACAATTAGCTCGAATTACGGAGATTGCACTGTAATTATATTACCGATTGCTAAAACTTTCAAAAAGAAACTATTGAGGAGTACTCGTGTAAGTTTGCATGATTGAATATTTAACTACTAATAACTAAAGTCATGATTGTCGTAATTTATCTATCTTTGCTAACTACGAGTACAAAACTAAATTTTAATAATAAATAATGTACTTACTTTTCTGCAGTACTCTCAAACAAAATAACACTGACTCACTATAATTTGTGTGATATACTATCTATTTATATTTTTTTAAATATTTTCTTAGCACTTTTCTTTTCAAGATTCAGGAAACGAATGAACGTATTTGTCCCACATTCGTATTTATAGAGTGACGAATTGAACAAGTCAGTGCAAGGTAGCGAAGCTCTGAGACTGCGACTCTCAGGTTTTTACAAGTTCAAAATGCATTGCGACCACAAAGCAAATACCAACATCCTACAACTTACACAATTTTATAAACATATATAATAAATTTTTTACTTCATAGGTACTTTTATAAATAATGTATATGTTTTGATATTATAAGATAGTATGATGCAAGTAAATAGGTACTATCAGTGAATGTGTTGAGATCCACTATCGTGGACCCGCATATTCATTTCATGGACCCCCAATTTTTTTTTCGCTGACGTAGGCCCCTTGCTGGTTGTCATAGACCCCTAGGGGTCGATATAGACCACTTTGTCTATTGCGAGGCTATGAAGACAGAGTTGTATTATGTCAAAAGGCATACTTCTGAGTAGTCCATCGGATCGATGTGTTTTTGGTAGGTTATGTATTATTTTCAATATTTGTTTTTGTATTATTTCAAGTCGATTTATATGTTTTTGGTAGACGAACCCCACACTGTTATGCCGTAAACCTGATAGATGACTTTCTGTTATTTGGTATAAAAGAAGTTAAAATGGGTCAGTAGATGCAATTCGATTTTGTACGTGTGACCTTGAAGCTATCACTAGACCCAATAGGAGCATGTTAGAATTTTTGGGACCGGTTATCTAAATGCCAAGGTCATTTGACTTCCATCTTCTAGATGACATTCAGAAACATTGCAGAGGAAAATAACTAGAATTGTAGTTTTGTGGGTCAACGAATCCGTATGTCCCGAGGCTATTTTATGCTCGATCTTAGGCCAAGCTTTGAAAAAGCGAGTAATCTGAAAAACCTCATCTATGGGTTTTTTGGCTGTTTCCGGCAAAGTGTTCTGAGATGCACTAGAAAACCTCCTCCTATACGTTTTCGAGGTAGCTGAAATTTGTGTTTGATTCAGAAGATCAGGTCATCCAGAATTTATTTCAAAGTTAGATTACCGTAACTCTAAGGTCAACATGTGTAAAATGTATCTAAAAACGTGTTGATATCGAGGGTAACTGAATCCAAACCTGGAATTTACGACAATAGACAGAATCATCTAGAGCCCACTTCAAGGTCATCTACGTCTAACTGGATGACCTTGCCAGAAACTATAATATACATGTTTTTAAGTTTTTAGTTTTTTTTACATAAATTTGACCTTTAAACGACCTTGGTTATGACCCTAAAATGCTCCTATGGGACCCAGTCATATCTCATAGACCATGGACTTCTTAACGTTCCTATCGACCATAGTGCTTCAAGAAGCACTCGAAAGTTATATATTTTCTTCAGAGCACTCATTATCACATAGGATGTAATAACTCAGAGCTTAGCTACCGATTCTATTGTCCTTTGACATTTAAGATTCGAAGATTACACCACCTCATTAAAATATATAATTCGGGAATACAAATTAGGAGATTTGATACGACCAGCTGTAACTATACATCAGTATTATTAGAAATGTTACTACTGCTATAATCCAGTTTTAATATGCCGATATATTATTTAACTCGAGTACTATTAGAAATGACACTTTATACTCGGAACGATATGCCTAATGGAAGGTATCTGAATTAGTATCTCGGAATGATACCTTTCAAGAATCATTCCAGAAGAATTTAAGCTAGTATCCAATTATACATTCGTATTTTTGAAAAATCGCTTCATATTGATGTTACTGTAAAAGTTGTAGGCAATAAGAGAAATTGCTGTTTCAATCAAGAAGTAGCTAAAGTTGAAGATGCAGATTTTTCATTTCACGTGCTTAAATCAAAATTATCCTAACAACTTCAAGAAAGGTTAATTCGTTGTCAATAGTTTGAAAATGTTGCTTACATCTATTGTAGAGGGAAAACCGTGGACAAAAGGTACTTTACTGTTTCAAAAGAACAATACTAGTTTATTTCCTATTTCCGCATTGCTTGTGTCGAACTATCTTATGTCAAATATACTCGCTACGAACTTCCTATTCCCTCTAACGCTGAACGAGGTTATATCATTTAATAAAGTCTATTCAGAATCAGTTGCACATGTAGAATACTTCTGCATGAAGATAGTTTGATTAAACATAGCACAAGAAACCACTACAACAGGTCGTCTGTCTGCATTGTATGAAGGTTTGCTCAAAAAACTAAAACATGGACTGCATAGTTTCCAGATTTGAGATACGATATGTTCTTAAAAATTACTTTTTGTCAATAAGCTCCTTTCATTTTTGGAATATGCCTCTAAAACTGTGTCCTAGGAACTACTTTCAAGGACGGAAGTGTAACTGCTAGTAAACCAAACAAAAACGATAATTGGCATGGGAAACGAGTCGTCCTCATTTCAAGATAAATAGTGTCTCAGGTGGCCTTGGACTGGTTATGCGAGAACAATTGAAGAGCGACATAATCTGTAATGAAGACGCCACGACGTGTTAGACACTTACGATGATAAACGCGACATGAAAAGTCATGTTGGCAGTGCTGTATGATTTGGATGACAAACATTAGTATAAACTTATCTAAAGTTTCTAGTAAACGTTGATATAATTTGGGTTATGTTAGTTTGCTGAGTAGGCGCACTTATATATAATTACGGTAAATTGTTTTTTTTTTCGTTCTGGCCTTTTGGATCACCAGTCTTGAGGAGTGGAAGAACTCTTTAAATATCTTCTTCAAGAATCAACATAAGGTTAAATCATCGTTATCCTTGACGTTGTCAAGTGCAAGCGAGACCATGAAAATTGTATTTTAAGTTTAGCTTATTTGAAAGCAAGACGAAGACGAAGACGAAGTCAAGGACGAAGACGAAGACGAAGACGAAGACGAAGACGAAGACGAAGACGAAGGCGAAGGCGAAGACCAAGACGAAGACGAAGACGAAGACGAAGACGAAGACGAAGACGAAGACGAAGACGAAGACGACGACGAAGACGACGACGAAGACAAAGAAGACGAAGACGAAGACGAAAACGAAGACGAAGACCAAGACGAAGACGAAGACGAAGACGAAGACAAAGACGAATACGAAGTCGAAGATGAAGATGAAGGTTAACATCATTTTGTCAGTCCGTGTCTATTGTATGTCAATGCGGCATAAGTCCTGACCCAAACTACTTGACAGAATATTCAGAGGACCATCATAGACAGACTAACACAAAATAGAGGTTAGACGAAATGAGTGGTATACTCAAACATGATAAAATTCAGCAAAATATATGTGTAGAAGTAAAAACAGTTAAGTCATAATTTATAAAAGCATCGGAGAACGCTAAAGTTGTACGTACTCCTAATATCGAAATATTGCTGAAATATATAAGTATTCCTCCTTTATTCATGTTCCGGGTCATCCGGCAAACGTGATATGGACATAATGTTCCACCGGTGCAAGGTTCTTACCTTCTTTATCTGTACATGTATTTTAAAGAAAGTCGTAATCGTAATACGATCACGATTTCCCATGCAACCATGTGATTGAACCTAGTCTCAATGTGTGCTAAGATCAGTAATAAAATCGAAACGATTATTGCTGAAATAACATTAATAGTGTTTTTCTAGCCATCAAACGATCAAGCAATAGTATAATTACAATGTTACACATTCCCAGGAACATGCTGGTTGCGTCTATGGTTCGTATTGAATATTTCGCTAATGAGTCGTAAACATAAAAGATGATTGCTGTTCTGTGTCTTAATGAAGCCTAGAACGCTCATTTAAATCTCCGCCTGGAGGCCGCGAGCATATGGCAACTCTACTCTAGTTTAATAACACCAAGAGAGACGACTCAATTTTATGCCCTGTCAGTAACCGAACAAGTTTAAAAAGGTATCGTTACCTTCACTGTTTCTAAAAGACCTTTGAATAAATAGTAAAATTATATATTGGATCATAAAGCTAAGATCTAATTAAAACCTGTGAAGATTTCGCGCCTTAATGTTTATAAACAAAGGAGATATGAAAAAAATTATCTTGGCTCCTATTGGCATTAGAAGGTTTTTTAAATATGCGTTTTTTTAACCACGTATCCAGATTAACTTGTAAAAATTAATTATATTCGAAAAAATCGAGCTATATTGAAAATTATACAAGCAAAATACTGAGTTTTGAGCTTTTTCCATTGTTTATAGAAAACCAACGCATATCAGGCTGTATCTTTTTATGTATTTGTCATGTCTTTTAAAGGTTTCAGGTATCTGCTAAGCTTTCTTACACCTATTTTTTTTCTCTAGTTGGCTT